CGACGAGCCCTCTGGACCCTCCCGCTGCAAGCCCGAGTCAGACACATCTTCCTCACTGCCGTTTTTTGAGGCCAGAGACTCGTGTGATCTATATCGGCCAAATCCTTTGAAGAGTGTTTTAAAGTGAGAGGTTAAGGGATTATCAGAGTCCTCGTTTTTTTCTTGGGAGCCGTTTTCATTTGAAGACTTTGAGTCAACAGAAGGCTGTGGATTAATGTCAGTCTCCTCAGGCAGTTCTAAAGGGGAATCGTACTGGGAGATAACAATAGATGGAAGAGTTTGACTGGGGACATCAGAGGCACTGTGGTTCTCCAAAGACTGAGCTGTTGATTCTAGTTGCAGAGATGACATTGTGTTTTCATCTGGGGCTCCGGGCTGTATGCTCGAGTTCTGCAAAGTAAACAAAACAATCTCTTTGTGAAGGCTGTCCCTGAGGCACTGGCCTTTCTGACTGTACTCAGCGACAGAGCTGAGACTAAATAAATCCATATGTTTGCTCACTAAGAAATATTTAAAGGGGAATTACATCAAGTCTACATGATATTTCTTGTTACATGAAATGCTGTACATCATTTCTGCAGCTCTAGAAAAAAATCTAAAACATTTTCTCAGTTTGACCTTTAGACAGATGCTACCAACATGCATTTGCAGGCTATCAAGTTGAATTATGTGAACCAGCAGACCAAAATTCACTATGGGTGTATGTGCACTAGTTATGGGTACCACTGTGCATCACTACTTCCCTGCTGACCTGCTTTACCTTCCCCAAAAGATCCTCCCTCCCCCTCTCTCTCTCTGTCTCTGCTGGGGTGTGGATAGCACAGCATGCTACATGTGTATAGTGCCCAGTTTCTGTTATGCAAATGAAGTCTACACCACATTAGCCAATAAGCATTCTGCAGATAATTCCCACACTTAGAATGACCAAAGTTTACAACACTGTCACTGGGTTTTGGGTCATATTGAACAAAACAAAGTCAGTTTATATAGTTTAAGTCCTCAAAGATCCTTTAGAAATCTTTTCACATCTACAGGTATTGCCCCCTGATGGCCATTAAAAAGAATGCAGGTCTAAGGTTCTTCCACGTTGCTTTGAGGGACTTTTCACACCTTGAAGCTATACCACATTTTACCCATCTGTAGTCAATTCCCATCTTTTCAAAAAGTATTACATTTTTAAAACTGCATAGCATTTTTGTTTTCCTCTTTTGTGACAACTATACTGGGAATTTATTTCCAATTCGCTCCATAAAAGTGGAGAAGCTGAAGCCTACACTAGCTGTCATAGGACAAGAGGCAGAGCCCAGCCTGGGCAGTCTCCATTCTATTACAGGGGTCAGAGAGACAACCAACCATTCAAGTGGATTTTATAGTCCAGCAGATGTAGCACGTTCACTGTCCACTAGCTGGGGTTGAGGATGGCCCGTCGGCCTACAAATAGCTCTGTTGCCAGATAGAGACACTGTACAGTGTGTGGTACAACCAGCCCGTGGATCACGGTTGTTTGTGCTGTTGTTGGTCAGTCAGCCAGCGGTGACGAGGCAAAATTATAAACACACAAAGAACTGAAGTGAAACGGTGTGGTAAACTGTCCACAGCAGGCAGTGGCTGTGCTTTTTATGCCAAATCTTTTAGTCTTCAATCTGGAGTTGTGCTTCACACCTACAGTCAATAACAATGGCCCTGTGGGAGTAAGCTGGAGTACCTGCAGAAAACCCATGCAAGCCTTTTAGTTTAATTCATTTTAAATTATGGCAGTGGCTACTGGTCTCTACCCACTGCCAATTTCCAAACGTGGTAATATAATTATAATTTATAAACCAAC